CGGGAGCAAAATGCTTCAGGCCAGTCGACATTGAACAATGGATTCCAGGTCGTCATCAAAGGGGAATGAGAGAAACATCGCCATTAGCCATTAACATATTGATTTGTATTATTGACATATTACACATTCACATATAACGATATTTGTGAGAAAGCCATTGACAACAATCGCCACCTTAACTCATGTCATCGAAAGCACCCAAATCACCCAAAGCATCAGACGATCGCCAATGACAGTGATATGATAAGTGTGGCACCTTTAGTCATGTGGCTCAAGCTGTCCACGCAAAACTCACTTCAACTCATTTTATCGTTTCGCAGCAAATATCGCTACGTCATCACTCTTTGAGGATCTCATTCCTTGATGAGACGATATTTCATTTGCGGCAGAACGGATGATTGTCTGCGACTGTTGGTCATACAACGAGGACACTGTTTGTTGAACGTTCCTATGAAACATGTGCTATGTATTGATAACTCATGCCGTATGTTAGAACCTCCCCAAAACACCACTGTAATGGGCTTTTATGCAGTGATGCTCGACATTACTCTGTGTTCAATCAACACTTTCAGTTAGTTTTTGACAGAAAGTCTAAGTTGATGACTGGCAGTTATTATTTTTTTATCTTTTGAATGCTGATTCTGGTATCAGCAGTTGAAACGTATTTCTGTAGCTACCCCCTCCAAACCCTCGGAGTTATAGTTTATTTTGTTGTATTACTTCTTTATTTTTTGACTGTAATAGTTCTGTTTTAGCCTACTAGTCTGATGGCGAAGCCTCTGAAGTTCGATGACGTAGAAACGGTAATTATGAAGACCCATTGGGATATGCCGGGACAAAAGTATTACCTGGAAATTAGAGACTTTTCTGGATCCTACTTTCTAAGGGTAATTCTGATCGTTTTTCTGGATTAATTTTATGCGTATGTTTTTTAGCGTGGCTTAAGGATGAAGTTGATTACGTTTGGTTAGTTAGATGCGGGAACATTTAATCTTTACTTTATTCCCTTAAATAAGTGTGAAAACAGCCGATATGATGGAGACAGTGTTTAAAGCACTATTTTAAAAAAATTCATTCCAGTTATGCATTGCAGTTAAAATAATATAATATTAATCTCAATTCACTGGATGGAACATCGTTCCTTGGCGCTGATCAAAACGTGAGGTAGAAAAGGTGACTTCACCCCTGTCACTGTGCAGTACTCTCAGGAGCTAGACTTCGTGGCGTCGTCAGAACCGTTCTGTGCAAAGAAGAACGCAAATGGAGAATTTTTCGGTACTTGGTCATATCCTAGCATTGAATCACTATTTATAAGGCTTCGTGAATATACAGTGCCTGTTTGCTTAATCTTCTTAAACCATTGAAAGGCATTTGATTTGGTGCCATGCCGCGTTTCGTTAGCGTTGCAGTATACTGAAGCTGCAACACGAATCGGAATCAGTGTTTGCAATGGCGTTGTGCAAAGAAGGTTCGATTCTGCTCCAGGGCGATCTTTGTGTTTTTCACGAATTTCCTTGAACGAGGAATTTACAGCACGTTGCTTCAGACTGAGACTGTCCAGTCTGTGCCGCGTCGAACTTATAACTGATAGGTCATGAGTTCAACCCAAGTGGTGATCACTCCCCTTCTTCCATCTGAGGTTGATGAACCAGTGCCAGTCTGTGGGAAGGAAACAGGAGACTACGAGCTGCGCTTGCCACGTTGTTGTAGACTGTGGTTTAAAGTAATAAAGCACTCCTGACTGATGCCATAGAAACGAAGAACAGCTCTGCACCGTTGTTAAGGAATGGCGCCAAAATGGCTTAATACTGAAAGTGAAGGAAGACAAACATTCAACGGTGACAGACTTTCGTTTCCTTTCTTCCTGCAAGGCAACCTATATCGTCCAGTCGGTTATCTGGGCGTGGTGACCACTAGCACACTAGCAAAGAGGTCGGCTTTGAACTCCTGATGGCGTGTTGAAATCCGCCGTACGGACAACGTTTGTCTTAAGCGGGAATTTCCCTGAGCACCGTATTAACCCTACGTTGCTTCGGCGGGGAAACGGCTACTAAGTCGGTGTCTCACGAACGGCATGGTCACAATGGTATGCCTCTGTGGTCATGCCAGAATGGACGAGGTTCGCGGCCATGCTGTAAGATGCTTGCGCCGAATGTGGCTGCATTCCACCTTAACTCGTCTGATAGCTGACCTCCGATTGCACTAACCAGCACAAGGTATAAACTCGATTTCAAGTATTGTATGTTTTAAATCAGTATTGCACAAAGTAAATGGAAAGGGGGATTTTCAGTCAACGGTAAACGGCTGAGTCACTTTCGATTGACTGATTGACTGACATTGTTGCTAAGTAAAAAATTCGAGACCGTGCTAAATGCGCTAAACACAAAGGGTAACAACGTTAGATTTGAGATAAACAGACATGCGACTGAGATGATCAGAAACGAATAAGAGGCAGTTGCAGTGCATTTTCATCTCTCATAATGAAGATTCAATGGCTTATGTGTGGAGGAGGGACGACACTAGTTGTTTCGGATTATTCCTTCAGTCCAGAGCTGGTTAAAAGGCGTCCTGCTGCGTTTGGCAAATATTACGTTATCCTTCATCGAAACGTGAAAACGCCACTTGAATGAACGGTTTTTATGGCCATCGTGCAGTGTTAATTACGGCGTTTTTCCGTTCATGTGTTGTTGAATCACCTTTGGAAATCATGGATTTATCGCCTCACCATCGACATGAGCACATGACCTAATTCGACTACTGGTGAATTTGATTAATTCGTCACAGTACGACAAACTGACCGAAGTTCACATAATCGATTGCTTTGCTGAATCCGTAATGTTATGCCGTAAAATGTACTCTGGTGCGTTGGCCGCAAGAAAACAAACGCGACTAAACAGTACAGTAGAAACAGGTTCTGTTTACAGAATGAATCTTGCTGGCTAATCTCGCTTAACAGCTTCCATCTATAACTATATATCTCCTATGTTAGGTCATGAAGACAACACATTATATCTTTCAATTAAGGGGATCTGACGTTTCACACCAAGCTGAGTCTGTCTTCTAAGTACAGTGAGAAAGGCACGCAATGTTTACATGCGGATCTGGTTGAACCGCATGATTCATGGTGCCGTGTTTGCTTGGTGGTTTTAATCCGCCGCCTCATGTTTGCGGTCCATGTGTCGCTGACGTATGTTCCATCGTCATGACCGATGCTTTTGGTTCCGAGGATTAATAACGCTTCCTTGATTTTGCGGGAAAAATTTTGTTGCTTTCTCGTGACGCCTTTCATTTTGTCCCATGAGATGCTGTGTTGGTGAGTAACAGCATTTTCCACAATGGCAGAATTTTTCTCATATTCTGCCTTTACAACCCCAGGGCCTTTCGTCTGTCTCCGACCTCTGCTGACTTGCTGTTGACCCCTTTCTCTAGCATCAGCGTTCTTCCACCTGATCAAATTCCTCTTGTGGTATGTCTTCCTTTCTTCATCCGTGTTACCCGTTTCGCCTGTGTAACCCGCACCACAGGAGCACCGGAGTTGGTACCCCCAGCCAGCTTCCCGCTCCTTAGGTTTCTGAGTCTTTAGGTGGCTTAATCGGCTATGTAGAGTAGCACCAGGTTTGAATACCAGGTTCAGTCCGGATGCAGATCCAGTGCGTCACAGCTTTTCACTCAGCTGGCCAACGTATCGCAAGGAAATGTAGATGTTGTTATCAGATGAGCGGGAAGAGGCCCTCTGTTTTGATAAACTTTTCAAGCCTCCGTTAAAAGTCTACAGAGGATGGCCATTCTTTCTTAGCATCCATCTCATGTGATTCAGTTTTTGGCAAAAATCATCTGTTCTGCATATCTTCCGACCTCTTTGGAGAAGTGTACTGACAACATTTTTTTAACGCAATCTGGATGATAAGAAGAGTGATGTAGATACTTATCAGTATGCGTCTTCTTGCGAAACACCGAGGTCAAATATCCCTGCTGGTGGTGTCT